CCTTCTAGCACTGATGATGTTACCTATTTGGGTGATGAAATGTCTGCAAGAAAACCACCAAGTTCAGAGAGCACCAAGGATCCCACAGTCGTCTTCCTCCTCCTCCTCCTCCTCCTCCTCCTCCTCCTCCTCCTCCTCCTCCTCCTCCTCCTCTCTGTAACCCCATTCCCTTCTAGCACTGATATTGTCACCTAGTTGGGTCATGAAACGTCTGCAAAAAAAACCACCAAGTTCAGAGAGCACCAAGGACCGCGCAGTCCCCTCCTCTTCTTCCTCCTCCTCCTCCTTCTCCTCCTCCTCTTTGCAACCCTCCTCCCTTATAGCACTGATAATGTTCCCTATTTGGGTCATGAAATGTTTCCTCCTCCTCCTCCTCCTCCTCCTCCTCCTCCTCCTCCTCCTCCTCCTCCTCCTCCTCCTCCTCCTTCTCCTCCTCCTCTTTGCAACCCTCCTCCCTTATAGCACTGATAATGTTCCCTATTTGGGTCATGAAATGTCTCCTCCTCCTCCTCCTCCTCCTCCTCTCCTCCTCCTCCTCCTCCTCCTCCTCCTCCTCCTTCTCCTCCTCCTCTTTGCAACCCTCCTCCCTTATAGCACTGATAATGTTCCCTATTTGGGTCATGAAATGTCTCCTCCTCCTCCTCCTCCTCCTTTTCCTCTTCCTCTTTGCAACCCTCCTCCCTTCTAACATTGATAATGTTCCCTATTTGGGTCATGAAATGTTTGCAAGAAAACCACCAAATTCAAAAGAGCCCCAAGGACCCTGCAGCCTCCTCCTCCTCCTCCTCCTCCTCCTCCTCCTCCTCCTCCTCCTCCTCCTCCTCCTCCTCCTCCTCCTCCTCCTCCTCCTCCTCCTCTCTTCTGGCACTGATAATATTCCCTAGTCGGGTCACGAAACGTCTGTAAGAAAACAAACTCGGTGAGCCCCAAGAAGTCCCACAGTTCAACCCTGAGCAACGAAGCTTCTCTTCTGTCGGTATCAAAAGTCCCTTCTGTCCAATCCAGAATTCCTCGCTGGGTCAGTCTGGCCCCCCGCGCGCCTGCCAGAGATTCCTCCAACTTGCCAGAGGAGCTGATAAGGATTAGGTAGCTCACGCTATTTCGTACCGCAGCCATATCCGTCTCTCTCTCCCCATCCAGGTCACTTCGTCCTGGCCATCTCTGACTCGTTTTACGCCCCCCCCCCCCGTCTCTCCCCAGGGAAAATATCAAGGAAAAGGAGAAAATCGAAACCCAGCCAGAGGAGTCCGAAGAACGGGAGCCCGCAGCTCCGAGAGGGCGTAAGACGGCCAACCGCCAAGGCCGAAGGAAAGGCCGGGTCACCCGATCGATGACGAACGAAGCCGCGGCGGCGAACGCGGCTGCAGCGGCCGCCGCCGAAGAGCCACCCCCACCTCTGCCGCCCCCGCCAGAACCCTGTAAGTCAAGGGGGGGGGAGGGTGTCCCAAGAACGGCCCGTTGACCATCTCGGTCATTTTGTCGCAAAATGCCTCCTGCCAATCTTGTTTCTGGCTTCCAAAATCCTTCCCGTGATGCTCTGGGTTTGGATAGCAGTACAGGTCGTCCTCGGCTTACGACCACGGTGGAGCCCGGAATTGACGTTGCTAAGCGAGAGACCTGTTGAGTGAGCTTTTTTCCTCCCCCGTTTCACGATTTTTCTTGCCGCGTTTTTATCAAGTGGATCGCTTCCGTCATTAAGGGAGTCACCCGGTCGTTAGATGAATCCAGCTTCCCCGTTGACTTTGCTTGTCAGGAGGTCGCAAAAGGGGATCACGTGACACACACACCCCCGGGACACTGCGACCGTCATAAATAGGAACCACTTATCAAGCATTCAAATTTAAATCAGGTGACCACAGAGAGGTGGCGACCGTCGCAAGAGAGAAAAACGGTCGTAAGTCTCTTATTTTCAGTGCCGTCGTAACTTTGAACGGTCGCTAAAAGAATTATTGAAAGTCGTGGACTATCTCTGCAGGTAGGCCTCGAGTTAACAGCCATTATTGAGTGCCAACCTTCCATTGTTACGGAAAAAAACCCACCGTTGTTAAGTGAGTTTTGCCCCATTTTATGACCTTTCTGGTCCCTGTTAAGTGGATCACCATATTTGTTAAGCTAGTAAATAACGGTTGTTAGATTGAATCTCATAGTCTTTTAAATCAATCCTGTTAAGGATATTGTTGTTGTGTTACCAACCAGCAGAGTGTAGAGCACAGAGAAACGTTGCTGAGAGCAATGAATAAGAGATGTGCAAACTGGTTTATCAAAAATTTACTTTATAGTGAAAAAAAAACCAATCTCGTAGTCTTTTAAATCAATCCAAGTCTTTGCCAGTTAAATCAGTCCAGTGATATAAAAGTCTTCTTACCATACAAACAGTAGTTGGTTAGAATAACAAGTTCACTCTGGTAACAAACCACGATGGTAGCAGATCCATCCAACCGATGATAGCACAATGGTAGCAACTCCACACACAATGGTAGCATATCATCAACTGAATACTTTACAGTACCTTTCTTAAATACGTTTACAACCAGTGATTATCTAATTAAAGTCACATAATACATATTCATATTAAAGTCACAGAACACATATATTGCCTGGACAACTTGTTAGGCTCAAACCATATCCTAACAAGGTAAGGCCAGGTAACAGGTGGCAGGAGAGATCACAATCTTTCTGTCTCTTTTCCCCTTCTCTCTGGCCTCTTCCCTCCCCACATAACCATGATTAAGCTGATCTGAAATTAACCGCCTGATCCTGGTTTGGAGAAGTGGTATGGTGGCCTAGAGGTGGAGCTCTCGCCTCACGATCAGGAGGCTGTGAAGTTCGATCCTAGGTAGAGGCAGATATTTCTCTCTCTGGCCACAATGAGAATATATCTGTTGAAAAAAAAACTCCACACTGGCAACAGGAAAGGCATCCGGCCATTAAAACACTCAGCTCCATTCCTGGTTTGGAGAAGGCAGAACCACCTATGGATGTTCAGACAGCAAGGAATCAAACTCTTTACAGTAGTCATTTAGTCTGTTCACTTAGTGACAGTTCGAAGTTACAACGGCACTGAAAATTGACTTCTGACCGTTTTTCACCCTTACGACCGTGGTAGCATCCCTGTGGTCACATGATCAAAATACAGCAACTGGCCCGTATTTATGACAGTCACAGTGTCCTGGGGTGTCACGTGATCTCTGAAAAAAGTGACTTACGACGGATTCACACACTTAACGACAGTTGCAGCATCCCCGTCACGTCATCAAAATCTGGACGCTTGACAACTGAGTCATATTTATGACGATTGCAGTGTGTTGCAGGGGTTCACGTGGTCCCCTTTTGCGACCTCCTGACGAGCGAAGTCAATGGGGAAGCCAGATTCACTGAACGACCGACTGACTGAGTTAAGAACAGAAGTGATTCACTTAACAGCTGTGTTTCTCATTTAACAACTGAAGCGATTCACTTTGGCGACTGTGGCAGGAAAGGCGGGGCGAAACTCACTTCACGAACGTCCCACTGAGCAGCAGACATTTTGGGCCCAGTCGAGGTCATAAATCGAGGACCGCAGGTACAGATAAGACAAGGAGAAAAATGTTTAATTGCAGGACGCAGTTTGATCAGTCAAAATTAATTCACTTTTCTGGTTTTTTCTTTCGGTAAAAGCCAGAAGGGTTTCCATGCAACCTTGCTTCAAATTTTCAATTTTTTTTTGTCCTGTTCTAAAAATAAGTAACGAGTAAAAGAAACACATAAATGAAGTTAATTTATTTTCTGAAACGTCCGATTTACGACCACAATCAAGCCGTAAATTTCCAGTGTTCAGTGAGAGGGTTCTCAATGGAGTTTTGCTCCATTTTACGACCTTTCTTGTTAAGTGAACTTGGCTCGTGAGAAGGTCGCAAAAGGGGATCACGGGACCCCGGGACATTGCAACCGTTGTAAATAGGAGTCAGTTGCCAAGTGTCTGAATTTCGATCACGGGACCGCGGGGATGCTGCCACGGTCGTTAAGTGTGAAAAACATGTCACGAGTCACTTTTTTCAAGGCCGTTGTAACTGAACGGTCACTAAATGTATTGTTGTAAGTCAAGGACTAACTGCATTGCAATTAGAATGGGAAGTGAGATTGGAATTGAGATTGGATTCAATCGGATCGAATTGAATATTTTGTTCGGTCAAATGTTTTAAATTATTGGGCCAAATTTATTTAATTATTTTAAATTTATTTTAACTTTTGTATATAAAATGTTTTATTTTTTGGCTGTTCACCGCCCTGAGTCCGAAAGGAGAAGGGCGGTATAGAAATTTGAATAAAGATAAAGAAATATGATTCGACACCAAAGGAATTTGTCTCCAGTACAGAAGCTCTCATTGCACATACCAAGCAAAACAACAGCAACATTAGTAATATCAATAAAATAAAGAAGATAATAAGAAGATCTGGAGATTTTTTTCAAGGGGCAACTGGACTTCCTTGTTTTTTCTTTGAAGGCGTTTCACTTCTCATCCAAGAAGCTTCTTCGGCTCTGACTGGATGGTGAGGAACGGAAGGATTTGTACTCCTTGCAGACAGTTAGTCATTTATAATATATCCTTCCATTCCTCACCATCCAAGTCAGAGCCGAAGAAGCTTCTTGGATGAGAAGCGAAACGTCTTCAAAAGAAAAACCAGAAAATCCAGTTTGCCTCCTGGAAAAAAAGCACCTTTGGGACAAGACAATAAGAAGGATGGAAATTAGATGTTATCTAATTCTGGGTTTTATTTAATTGACCAAACTAAGTAATAATTTTAATTAGCAATTTTATGATGTTTGTGTGTCTATATTTTTCTTGACTGTACACCGCCTTGAGTCCTACGGGAGAAAGGCGGTATAGAAATATAATAAATAATAATAATAATAAATTAATACTACAGCCATACTGCATGGGTTAACATGCCTAGATATTAGCAGCACTCTGAGAATTAGGTTGTTTTGGCATGCAGAGCTCTATAGCAGGGGTCTCCAAACGTGGCAACTTTAAGGCTTGTGGACTTCAACTCCCAGAATCCTCCAGCCCAGCAGCACTTGGCCATTTTAAGACTGGTGGACTTCAACTCCCAGAATCCTCCAGCCCAGCAGCACTTGGCCATTTTAAGACTGGTGGACTTCAACTCCCAGAATTCCCCAGCCGGCAGCACCTGGCCACTTTAAGGCTGGTGGACTTCAACTCCCAGAATTCCCCAGCCCAGCAGCACCTGCCCACTTTAAGGCTGGTGGACTTCAACTCCCAGAATTCCCCAGCCGGCAGCACCTGCCCACTTTAAGACTGGTGGACTTCAACTCCCAGAATTCCCCAGCCCAGCAGCACCTGCCCACTTTAAGGCTGGTGGACTTCAACTCCCAGAATTCCCCAGCCCAGCAGCACCTGCCCACTTTAAGGCTGGTGGACTTCAACTCCCAGAATCCTCCAGCCCAGCAGCACCTGCCCACTTTAAGGCTGGTGGACTTCAACTCCCAGAATCCTCCAGCCCAGCAGCACCTGCCCACTTTAAGACTGGTGGACTTCAACTCCCAGAATCCTCCAGCCCAGCAGCCCCTGCCCACTTTAAGATTTGTGGACTTCAACTCCCAGAATTCCCCAGCCAATATGCTGGCTGGGGAATTATGGGAGTTGAAGTCCGCCAGTCTTAAAGTGGCTAAGTTTATTTATTTATTTATTTATTTAATTAATTAATTAATTAATTTTTTATACCGCCCTTCTCCCAAAGGACTCAGGGCGGTGAACAGTCAAAATAAACATATATATCAAAATGTGAATAGAAGCAATAAATAATAAGTCAATTTGGCTTATCAGTTAAGTTAAGATCTTCAGAATAAAATTTACACAATTAGGAAAAGTTGGGAGACCCCTGTCCTATATCGCCGTCCCGAGGGGAGGAGCTGAAACAGTTAAATGTCCAGGAAACGAGGGGTCTCTAATTATTTTCTCAGCCCTCCTTCAGAACCCGCTCAATATACAATATGCAAATCTACAGTACATACAGGATGCAGGTCTGTCTGGGGAATTCTGGGAGTTGAAGTCCACGGATCGTCAAGTTGCCACAGTCGGTTGGACTCCCGTTGCCTAGGTCCTTTCGGGGGCATAAATCTTCCAGACAGCGTCCTGGCCAACGGCCTTTTCTGGCCACAACTCCCGGCCTCCTTTTACAGGAGAAGGGGATTTCTCCCCCTCCTCCTCCTCCTCCTCTTCCGCTCACTCTTGTTTTTCTTTTTTTCTTTTTTCCCTTTTTTTCCTTTTTTTTTTTTTTTGATGTAATAAGAACTGACGCCCTCCCGCTGTCAGCGGGCAGAGTTCCCAAGCGGCCGGCCCGAGCAGGCCTTCCTGTAAACAGATTAATAGATTATGCGGAAAGCACAAAGTCTGGCCTTTTACGCCATCTGACCGGTTCTCCTCTCTCTCTCTCTCTCTCTCTCTTTTCTTCCCTCTCCACCTTGTTCCAGCTTCCGCGGAGCCAGTAGAGACCTCGCGCTGGACGGAAGAAGAGATGGAGGTTGCAAAAAAAGGTAAACCTGAAGCAGGAAGAAAGCCACTTCCTTTCTTCCTTCTTTCCCTCTTCCCTTCCCCTCCTTCCTTCTCTCCTTTCCTTCCTTCCTTCCTCTTCGATTTTCCTCTTTCTTTCTTTCTTTCCTTCTTCCTTCCTTTCTTCCTTCCTCCCTCCCTTTTTGCTTCGTTCCCTTCCTCCATCCCCCTTTCCTCTTTCCTTCCTTCCTTTTCTTTTTCTTTTTCTCTTTCTTCCTTCCTTCCTTCCTTTCTTCTCTCCTTCTTTCCTTCTCTTTTTCCGTCCCTCCCTCCTTCCTTCCTTCCATTCTCTCCCTCTCTTTCCTTCCTTCCTCTTCAGTTTTCCTTTCTTTTTCCTTCCTTCCTCCTTCCCTCCTCTTCCTTTTTTCCTCTTCCTTCTCTTTTTCCTTCCTCCCTCTTTTCCCCTTTCTTCTTTTCTTCTTTCCTTCCTCTTCTTTTTTCTTTCCTTCCTTCCTTCCTTCCTTCCATTCTCTCCCTCTCTTTCCTTCCCTCCTCTTTCTTTTTTCCTCTTCCTCCTCTCTTTCCTTCCTCCCTCTCTTCCCCTTTCTTCTTTTCTTCTTTCCTTCCTTCCTTCTTTCTTTCCTTCCTTCCTTCCTCTTTCTTTCCCTCTCTTCCCCTTCCTTCTTCCTCCCTTTTTGCTTCCTTCCCTTCCTCCATCCCCCTTTCTTCTTCCTTCCTTCCTTCCTTCCTTCCTTCCTTCCTTCCTTCCTTTCTTTCTTTCTTTCTTTCTTTCTTTCTTTCTTTCTCTCTCCCTCCCTCCCTCCCTCCCTCCCTCCCTCCCAGTGTGTGTGTTTGTTTGTTTGTTTGTTCAAAGTCCTTTTTGGAACCAAAGGACCACATGTGAGACATAGTTCCAGATGTTCCTTTTCCTGGAAAGTCCAGGCAGGGCAACCTTCCTGGGAATCTTGCAGCCTCAAAGAAGCTCTGTTAATGGGCTGGGCCACCACCCCGGGTCCCAAGTAGGTCAGCCCCGCTCTTGTGGGAGGTTTTGTCAAGCCTCATTAGCGCTCCCGGGGTTGAGGCGAGGTCCTTTTCATGCCGAAATTGGGTCTCTGGTGGCTTCCAGGCCTCATCTCCCCACACTCAGCCCACTCCTCTGGATGGGAACCATCCGTGGCTGCCGTTTCCCAAAGAACTTCGGAATAATCTGCGAGGAAAGGAAACCGGGGTGTTTCCACTCCTACCAATGGGGTTTGGGATTTGTCTATAAAGAATCAGAATAACAACAGCAGAGTGGGGAGGGACCTTGGAGGTCTTCTAGTCCAGCCCCCTATTCAAGCAGGAGACCCTAGACCAGAGGTGGGTTTTTCAGCAGGTTCTGACCAGTTCTGGAGAACCGGTAGCGGGAATTTTGAGTAGTTCAGAGAACCGGTAGCAAAAATTCTGACTGGCCCCGCCCCCATCTATTCTCTGCCTCCCGAGTCCCAGCTGATCGGGAGGAAATGCGGATTTTGCAGTATCCTTCCCCCGGATTGAGGTGGGAATGGGGATTTTACAGTATCCTTCCCCTGCCATGCCCACCAAGCCATGCCACGCCCACCAAGTCACATCCACAGAAGTGGTAGTAAAAAAATTTGAAACCCACCACTGCCCTATACCATTTCAGACAAGTGCTTGTCCAGTCTCTTCTTAAAAACCTCCAGTGATGAGGGAGGGAGGCAGGGAGGAAGAAAAGAAGAAAAGAAGAAAGGGGAAGAGAGGGAGGAAGGAAGGAGAGAAGGAAGAGGAAAAAAGGAAGAGGAGGGAAGGAGGAAGGAAGGAAAAAGAAAGAGGAAAATTGAAGAGGAAGGAAGGAAAGAGAGGGAGAGAATGGAAGGAAGGAAGGAGGGAGGGAGGGAGGGAAAAAGAGAAGGAAGGAAGGAAGGAAGAGAAAGAAAGAAAGAAAGAAAGAAAGAAAGAAAGAAAGAAAGAAAGAAGAAAGGGGGATGGAGGAAGGGAAGGAAGCAAAAGGAGGAAGAAGGAAGGGGAAGAGAGGGAGAGAAAGAAAGAAGGAAGGAAGGAAAGAAAAGAAAGGAAGAGAGGGAGGAAGGAAGGAGAGAAGGAGGAGGAAAAAAGGAAGAGGAGGGAAGGAGGAAGGAAGGAAAAAGAAAGGAAAATTGAAGAGGAAGGAAGGAAAGAGGGAGAGAATGGAAGGAAGGAAGGAGGGAGGGAGGGAAAAAAGGAAGGAAGGAAGGAAGGAAGGAAGGAAAGCAAAATAACAGAGTTGGAAGGGGCCTTGAAGGTCTTCTAGTCCAACCCCCTCCTCAGGCAGGAGACCATTTCGGACAGGTGGCTGCCCAGTCTCTTCTTAAAAACTTCCAGTGTTGGAGCCTTCACAACTTCTGGTGGCAAGCTGTTCCACTGGTGAATTGCTCTCAAGGTCAGGACATTTCATCTTAGTTCTAGGTTGCTTCTCTCCTTGATTAGTTTCTACAGTCGAGCCCCAAATTTTTGTTGCTAAGTGAAACATTCGTTAAGTGAATTTTGCCTCGTCTAATAACCCTTTCGTGCCTTTTACGTTGTTAAGGGAATGACTGTAGATGTTAAGTTAGTCAGGCGGTTGTTAATTGAATCCGGCTTCCCCCATTGACGTGGCTCGTCAGACGGTCGCAAAAGGGGATCACGTGACCCCCGGGAACACTCCGAACGTCATAAATACGAGTCAGTTGCCAAGCGTCTGAATTTTGATCATGGGGTTGCTGCCACGGTCGTAAGTGTGAAAAACGGTCACGGGTCCCTTTTCTCCTTTGCCGTTGTAATTTTGAACGGTCGCTAAATGAACTGCCGTAAAGCGAGGCCTGCCTGTATTTATCCTTTTCCTTTGAAACATCCCAATCGCCCATCCCACTGATGCTTGGTTCCATCCTTTCAGGTTTTCAAGAAGAAACTGTCCCGAATGGAACAGGCTTCCTATTTGAGCAAAGGGGGGGTGAGACTAGAAGACCTCTAAGGCCCCTTCCAACTCATATTATTCTCTCAAATCTCTTGGGGTGAATTAAGGCAACGGCCCCCAATCTTTGGGGCACCGGGGACCGGATCCATGGCAAGAGGTTCTCCCTGCATCCCACGGATGGGGCATCAATTGTTTGCGTGGCCCAGTTTGTGGCATGCCACGTCCCGATTTTTTATTTTATTTTTTTAATTTGATTTATATGCCACCCTTCTCCGGAGACTCAGGGCGGCTTACAATGCGTTAAGCAATAGCCTTCATACTTTTGTATATTTATACAAAATCAGTTTATTGCCCCCACAAACTGGGTCCTCATTTTACCTACCTTAGAAAGGATGGAAGGCTGAGTCAACCTTGAGCCTGGTAAGATTCGAACCTGCAGTAATTGCAAGCAGCAGTTGTTAATAACAGTGTGCCTTAGTCCACTGTACTATAGGCTCTTGGATGGATGGATGGATGGATAGATAGGTATAGATGATAGATAGATAAATAGATATAGATGATAGATGGATAGATGGATAGATAGATACATAGATAGATAGACAGACAGACTGATAGATGATAGATGATAGATGGATAGATAGATGGATAGATAGATTTTTTTAAAATTTGATTTATATGCCGCCCTTCTCCGGAGACTCAGGGCGGCTTACAACGCATTAAGCAATAGCCTTCATACTTTTGTATATTTTTTACAAAGTCAGCTTATTACCCCCACAAACTGGGTCCTCATTTTACCCACCTTAGAAAGGATGGAAGGCTGAGTCAACCTTGAGCCTTGGCGAGATTCGAACTTGCAGTAATTGCAAGCAGCAGTTGTTAATAACAGTGTGCTTTAGTCCATTGTACTACAGGCTCTTGTATGTATGTATGGATGGATGGATGGATGGATGGATAGATAGGTATAGATGATAGATAGATAAATAGATATAGATGATAGATGGATAGATAGATACATAGATAGATAGACAGACAGACTGATAGATGATAGATAGATTTTTTTTAAAAATTTGATTTATATGCCGCCTTTCTCCGAAGACTCAGGGCGGCTTACAATGCGCTAAGCAATAGCCTTCATACTTTTGTATATTTATACAAAGTCAGTTTATTGCCCCCACAATCTGGGTCCTCATTTTACCCACCTTAGAAAGGATGGAAGGCTGAGTCAACCTTGAGCCTTGGCGAGATTCGAACTTGCAGTAATTGCAGACAGCTGGTGTTACTTAACAGTGCTTTAGTCTGCTGAGCCACCAGGCCCAGTAGATTCCTGCCCACCACGTCCCACAGGTTGGGGACCCCAATTTTTAAAACACAAAACGAAATAAAAAAAAAAAACAGCATTATGGAAGGACGGCCTATTTTCACGTCCGCCCGATCAATTGCTCGCTCCAAACCTCCCTCGGAAACTTTGAATTCTCTCAAACTTTTCAGGAGTTTAGCCGGTAGCGATGCAAAAAAAAAAAAAAAAATGGGATCTCCTCTGTTTGGGGGAGGGGGGAGATGTCCAGCCAGGTGAATTAACCCCCCCCCAAAGGCCTCATTGACTCACCCACCCTTGAAATATGACTTAAGCCCTCGACTTAACGACCGCAATCAAACATTTCTGTCGCTAAGCAAGACCATTCAGTGAAGTTTGTCCCCTACAACGACCGTTCCTGCCATTAGGTGAATTGCTGCTATGGTAAAGACAAAAACATGGTCGTTAAGTGAATCTCTCCCCCCCCCAGTGGACTTTGCTTGTCAGAAGGGGGTTGGGAGGGACCCCTGAATTAAGGGCCTTAGCAGCCCCTCTACCCCCAAAAAAAACATGGGATTGCAACAGCATTTTGATTAAGCGGGGGTCCGGCTGCCAGGAAATGCCGACAACGCTGCCTAGCGATTATGTGCGTGTGATTTGCACAACTGGATCTTCTCAGGACTTGGAGAGAGCAGATCCCCCCGTTGCCCAGACGACCAAAAATGTCTAAAAACTGTTCCAGATAACTTTTGAGGTTGTTTGGGTTCTCTCTCTCTCTCTCTCTCTTTGCTTATGACTCATGGCCATCAATTTCCCCC